GATTATAGAATACACTAGACAGCACACAAACAATTGTTTCAAATGCAAACCTGTAATGACAACAGTGAGAAAATACTTGTAGACTTTGAATAATAGACGCTAGGCACGGTCACTGCTTTGAGCAGTGGAACATTTTTTGCTTCTGCCAGATGGTGGTTGTTGCATTTTTGCTCCATTTGTAGACTGAAAGGATATAGTTTTGTCGCTCAGCTTCTGAGTTGTGTGCATGGCGTGACACTGTGAGTTGCTGATTTCATCTGGAATGTTTTTCGACTGTGACCAATATGTGATTAAAATTGATCGCGTGTGCAACTGCTGATCTATTGGTGACTTCTGCTACCATTCATGATGAACTGCATTTCTCATGTCGGACTGTTTGTGTTAGCACTTTGGATGGCTACCGTATGCTTTTAATGCGTGTGTATGCTAGTGCATATAAGAGACAGCAGTCTGTCAATCTTTCCATAAGGGACTGTGAAAAACATTCTGTGTTTTTTTCGTTGGCACGGGAGCGAAGCGACTATGGTGGACCCGTTTGCTATGAAGCTGAAACTAAGATTGCCAGATTACCAGAACACAGTGTTAATAAGATTATCTAAGTATTAACAGTGCAGTTTCTTTCATAATCGCAACCAAAATCACGGCAATATGTGAAACAATAATCATGATCATGTAGCAGGTCCTTTGCAGAACGTCGCTCTCATCACAGTCTGCCTGAAAGAAACTTGGTCTCTCGCCATTTCTTCCGCCTCATGCACTTTCATACTCAAGGAGTCATATCCTGTGCCCATCTGCGTGCGGTCGTCCTCTGCCCCTGCTTCCTGGTACCCTGCCTTCTGCTATCATTTTTTCCAATCCGTCGTGGCTCTTGATATGACCAAAATATTTCAGCTTCCGAGACAGGATGCTGTTTATTAGCCAATCTTCGTTAATGTTCAGATGTTTCAAGATGTCAGTATTTCTCCTCTCCTTGGTCCAAGATATTCTGAGAATCTTTCTATAGAATCTTTCTATGTGAAACAATACAAATTAAAAATCGATCATATAAATAATTACGCGATTCCTAAACATAAAAATCAAATACAAATTCTCTGAGAACTCAATTAACACTATATACCTCAGTTATAATCCTGAGATTTAATATATATATATATATATATATATATATATATATATATATATATATATATATATATATATATAAAACAAGAAACTACTGCTACTCAGGAAGTCACCGTGGTCACGTCCATCTTTAGACTATAAATTTATAGCTACAGAAGGGCGTGACCGTGGTCCCGTAAGATAGGACGCCCGTGTGTATTGTTGCGCAAGTAAAAAAAATCCTTTGACAGTTGGAAATCGAAAACAAGTAGCCTAACGGCCCTACCCGGGCAAAGTTTGGAGTTAAAAATCTACCCGAAGTATTTCAGGATCCTGGTGCTACAGAGTTCGTGCACTGTGATGAGATTCTTCGGACAAGCTTGAGTAAGAAGTAGAACGGAGCACTTATAGGTTGCTACCCTTGTGCCATGATGTTGAAAGTTTGTGTAAACCTGAAATAAAGCATTGCCTATTTTAATAAATCGATATGTAGCATTGTATTTAATCATTTTCGCAACTTTCATCATCAAAATTATTATTATAATTAGTTACGCATCGTTTTTTCATTAGCGGTCTTCGTGGCGAAGTGGTCAAGCCGTGTACCTTGCGTCGTGGGTTCGTTTTACGGTTGCGCCGTTAAGTTTACGAGTCCACAATTGAATCTCTGGTCGTGCTCCATGCAACGCTCTCGGCATTCCTAACTACTTCTTTCTATGAGTGCCGATCAATACATTTTCTGTTACTTGATTAACGCTCTCGGCAGGCCGTTCTGTATAGAGAGACTGAGCCATATGGGATATAATAATTAGCTGCGTATCCTTTACAGGACGTTGCAGAACCAACCCCAGCAGCCCCTGGCTGTTGTGTTGTTTCTCTAGGCAAATTTACTTCCAGTAGTGTGCCATTGCCTCTGGACGGTCGGCCCCCTGATACTACTGTCGAAACCAACGCAAGGCGCATGGCCCGCAGCTGGGATCGAACACGGCAGCCTGGCATTACGAAGCGTTCGCATCGACTAAGCCACAGAGCCGACATATGGGGTATAACCCGGTGCAATGAGGTCGATCCTCTAAACTTGACCGTTACCTTTTTATGATTAAATGTGGCTGCGTATACTTTAGAGGACATTGCAGAACTAAACCCTAACAGTAATGGGGGTGGGGGTGGGGGATACAGGCCTATTTGTGGTTTTACTGGGCAATTTTAGGCTCGGCTCAGTTTACCATTGCTCGGCGCTCCATACCGTCGTCGAAATCAAAGCAAAGTGGTCTGCTGTCGAAAAGCAAACATCCTAATCGAACTGGGTATTGTGTGATCACGAAGCGCGTTCGCAACAACCAAGTTACAAAGGCAGTATTAATATTATTATTAATATTATTTTTATTTTTATTATATGTTCAGGTGAAGTAAAGGACCATTTTCCACGTCTTCTGGCGTATTGGGTATATAGGGCTAGACCTATATTTTATAGACCAAACGGCACCAGGTGGGTAGTGTGGTCAGCATCATGGCAGGCGCCTTGACCTCCCAGGACTGCACCTGGTACCCACTCAAGCCTGGGTCGACCTGACAGCCAAGGTCATTTAAAAAAATTAGTCAGGTCCAACAAAAGTGAAATGCACGCGACAACAATGCATGGACAATGACAAGTAACAAAAGTGATAGGACAAGGAAGATACCGGTATGTTGGGCACGTTTTGAGAAGAAACGAGTAGGGAATCACTATTAAGGCTCCCCGTGTGGGTTTCGGGGCCCTAATGAAGGGAAAACAAGAATAGACCCACTGCCTACCCAAAAGCATGTCGTAAGAGTAGACTAATGAGCAGCTTCCTTTGAAGTCGGAGTGCTTCTGCCTGAGGACAAGAAACCAGTCTGCATGCAGATGAGATCTGTCAAACGGATGCACCCGCAACATCCAGGTTCTGATGCAGGACTGCAGTCCTGAAGTGGACGAACAACCAGAACTTTCCACCGGAGTTTACAGCCGGTGAACGTGAAGAAAAAGAAGAAGAAGATTATTAGAGCATCAACGTGGGAAATAGAATAATTGCTGAAGCTGGGACGTTTAAACACACATGGATAATATGGGGTAGTAGTGGCGGTTCGTGGAGAGAAACTGCTAAACTGCAACACATCCCCTATCATCTCTTGATAATTTAACCACCAATCGCAACTACCGGACAGACACTGAAAAAAAAATAACATAGGGAAAAAAAAAGGGATCTACAAATTAGAGTCGAATACAGCTTGGATAAGGGAACCAAAAAGAAGAAGAAGAAGACGAAGAAGAAGAAGAAGATGATGAAGAAGAAGAAGAAGAAAAAGAAGAAGATGATGATGATGACGAAAAAGAAGACGAAGAAGAAGAAGAACGAGAACAAGAATAAGAATAAAAAGAAGAAGAAGGAAAAAGATGAAGAAGAAGAAGAAGAAGAAGAAAAAGAAGAAGAAGAAGAAGAAGAAGAAGAAGAAGAAGAAGAAGAAGAAGAAGAAGAAGAAGAAGAAGAAGAAGAAGAAGAAGAAGAAGAAGAAAAAGAAGAAGAAGAAGAAAGAAGAAGAAGAAGAGGAAGAAGAAGAAGACGACGACGACGACGAAGAAGAAGAAGAAAAGAAGAAGAAAAAAAAAAGAAGAAGAAGAAGAAGAAGAAGAAGAAGAAGAAGAAGAAGAAGAAGAAGAAGAAGAAGAAAGAAGAAGAAGAAGAAGAAGAAGAAGAAGAAGAAGAAGAAGAAAGAAGAAGAGAAGAAGAAGAAGAAGAAGAAGAAGAAGAAGAAAGAAGAAGAAGAAGAAGAAGAAGAAGAAGAAGAAGAAGAAGAAGAAGGAGGAGAAGAAGAAGAAGAAGAAGAAGAAGAAGAAGAAGAAGAAGAAGAAGAAGAAGAAGAGGAGGAGGGGGAGACTGGAAGCAGTTTATGTGTCTGTGTCGTTCAACCCCATCAGGACCGTACAACGAGCGACTAATACCCGGTGACACAAAGTGCCCCCAATCAGATGAGGATCACCGGATATAAGTCCCAGAAATCCAGTTCAACTGTTAGGTTATATTAGGGCGTAGCCGGAGTAGGGCTTGATAATAACGAAAAATTGCGTTCCATATTGGGACGGCAAGTACATGAAGGAGGAAGCAGTTTATTGAACTTCATCGTGATTTTTGACAGCCCTGTCACTAGTCGAATAATGCATCGAAAGCTTCTTTATCTTCTTCTTCTTTGCGTTCACCAGCTGTAAACTCTGGTGGAAAGTTCTGGTTGTTTGTCCACTTCTAGACTGCAGTCCTGTTCTAGAACCTGAATGTTGCATGGGCATCCGTTTGACAGATCTGACTCATTTGTGTGCAGACTATTGGTTCCTTGCCTCTCAGGCAGATGCACTCCGACTTCGAAGAAAGCTCCCAATTAGTCGACTCTTACGACATGCTTTTGGGTAGGCAGTGAGTTTATTCTTGTTTTCCCCATAGTAGGGCCCCGGTACCCACACGGGGAAGCTTCTTTATGATTTTATAAATGTTTTATGATTTTATAAATGTTCTATGATTTAATAAATATTTCATGATTTTATAAATGTTTCATGATTTTATAAGTGTTTTATGATTTTATAAATGTTTCATGATTTTATAAATGTTTCATGATTTTAGAAATGTTTTTTAATTTTATAAATGTTTCATGATTTTGGAAATTTTTCATAATTTTATAAATGTTTCATGATTTAATAAATGTTTCATGATTTAAAAAATATTTCATGATTTTATAAACGTTTCATGATTTTAAAAATGCTTCATCATTTTATAAACGTTTCATGATTTTATTAATGATTCATGATTTAATAAATGCTTCATGATTTTATAAATGCTTCATGATTTTATAAATGTTTCATGATTTTATAAATGAAAAATCGATTCTTTCAGCGACTTCGACCCAGGTATTGGACTGTGACTTCGAGCCAGGTTTCTGTCAATGGAGCCAGGTCACAACAGACAAATTAGACTGGTCAAGAGAAAAAGGGCCAACATCAACTCCAGGAACGGGTCCGTCTACTGACCACACCTCGGGAGGTGAGCAAGTGTCAATGTCCCTATTCCTCCTCTTTTTCGTTGCGTTCACCGGCTGTCAAATCCGGCGGAAAGTTTTGGTTGTTCGTCTGCTTCTGAACTTTAAGTCTTTTTTTTTTCAGAACCTGAGTGTTGCGTGTGCATCCGTTTTATTTGCAAACAACTGTTAGTTCCTTGCCTCTCAGGCAGGTGCACTCCGATTCCGAAGGAAGCTCCCAATTAGTCTACTCTTACGACATGTTTTTGATTAGGCAGTGGGCATATTCTTGCTTTCCCTACAATAGGGCCTCAGAACTCACACGGGGAAACTGTCCCGATTAATATGTGAACTTTGTCCCTTTCAGGCACGTATTACGTTACATTGGTAGATGAATAATTTCTGGCAAGTGTCCACAGCCTGAGTAAATCTTCGATTATCCGTCACCGTCCAGACTAGGGCTGTGATGGATAACAGAACAGAGGATAACAGAAATATCTAAACACATATCTACAGTAACGTGACTACACTGCGGGTTTGAGGCGAAAACGTGTGAAAACACAGTGGCTTGGGACCGGTGCCAAAGTCGACTGTTGGTACTCTGATGCACGTTTAGAATCCTGGAAACCTGACTTTGACTTTCTCCTGCCTGCATCAGCCAATAGCAATATTCCTTAAATGTATCGATAGACGCGCCACTCGTGACTGCCTTAACGTGAACTGATCGTTTTCGTGTAGCGTTATCCTTTCAGTTGCATAGGCAGTGAATAGTGCTCACCGCAAATTGTATTGCTTTCTCTTGCGCGCACCGTGAGCTGTGCTCACAAATAGGGTCTTAAACACAATTGACCACTGCACCGTAAGGATTCCCAAAACTCACGCAATTCACGGTCACATGTCCACTGGACACGGTAAACAACGTTTGAGTCTGCTTTTCACATCTCCGAGTACGCTATTTTATTTACAAACTAATAAACAGGCGCCATCCGACAGCTATGTGTTTCTTATTTTGAACAGAATGTAATACAGCCCCAATATGTGGCTTATTTGTACGCAGACTGTTGGTTCATTGCCTCTCATGCAGAGGCACTTTGACTTTGACAGAAAACTCTTACGACATGCTTTTAAGGGAGGCAGTGGGTCTGTTCTCTCCCTACCACGCCATATTGCCCCGTATAGATGGATAGATAAACAGACAGACAGACAGACAGACAGACAGACAGACAGACAGACAGACAGACAGACAGACAGACAGACAGACAGACAGACAGACAGACAGACAGATAGATAGATAGATAGATAGATAGATAGATAGATAGATAGATAGATAGATAGATAGATATATAGATAGATAGATAGATAGATAGATAGATAGATAGATAGATAGATAGATAGATAGATAGATAGATAGATAGATAGATAGATAGATAGATAGATAGACAGATAGATAGACAGACAGACAGACAGACAGACAGACAGACAGACAGACAGACAGACAGACAGACAGACAGATAGATAGATAGATAGATAGATAGATAGATAGATAGATAGATAGATAGATAGATAGATAGATAGATAGATAGATAGATAGATAGATAGATAGATAGATAGATAGATAGATAGATAGATAGATAGATAGATAGATAGATAGATAGATAGATAGATAGATAGATAGATAGATAGATAGATAGATAGATAGATAGATAGATAGATAGATAGATAGATAGATAGATAGATAGATAGATAGATAGATAGATAGATAGTTAAACTAACAGACAGACAGAGATGAAGACAGCAGGTACCTATAAACCTGAGGTTCCGGCAACTCTAGCACCTCAATTGTTTAGGAGATCCCCTGGAACATTGTCAAGGGTTTAGGTGTCCCTTTCCCCAACCACATACTGACGTTCTCTAGTTATGTATTTGTTTACATGTTTCATTCCCCCCCCCCCCCCCCCTTCCCCAATAAATGATTTGCCACTCGGCGCATAAAAATAATAATTATTATTGTGCACTTAAACAAGGTTTAAGTCCCGTGAGGCATGCCAACAAGTTTATAGAGAGATGAATACCCCCTCGCTCACAAGATGTCTTTGTGGTAGCGCACCTGAACGAGAGAGAGAGAGAGAGAGAGAGAGAGAGAGAGAGAGAGAGAGAGAGAGAGAGAGAGAGAGAGAGAGAGAGAGAGAGAGAGAGAGAGAGAGAGAGAGAGAGAGAGAGAGAGAGAGAGAGAGAGAGAGAGAGACGGGTTGGCACCATGCCAACAAAGGCGATCGGCTATCAAACTAACCAGTACAAAACTGTCCAGCAGGTGACATCCCTCTCATCTCTCTCTCTCTCTCTCTCTCTCTCTCTCTCTCTCTCTCTCTCTCTCCAACCCCTTACTCCCTCTCCAAACGCACACACGAACTACGGCTATCGGTTTATACTTTAAAAACCCCAGTCAAAAATTTTCGACCTGGAGTTGTTATTGTGTATCGTTGGCGGTCTGCACATATATGTAAGTTTTGATCTTGAGGTAAATTCATGCAGTCTCAATTAGTATGCGCGCGCGCGCGCGCGCGCGTGTGTGTGTGTGTGTGTGTGTGTGTGTGTGTGTGTGGGTGTGTATGTATGTGGTTGTGTTTATGTGTGTGTGTCGTTTTAGATCAAAAGCTAAGTACATGTAGTCTTGATATATGTGTGTGTGTTTGCGTGTGCACGTCTGTGAGTGTGCAGTTTTATATCTAGGACTAAATGCATGTCGTCTATATTATTGTGTGTGTAGCGCGCGCGCGCGCTAACGGCACATATGTGTGTCTGTATGTTTAATATTCGATCTGACATCAACTGTGTTGAAAACTTCATGTATGGTTTTCAGCGTCCACTTACCCCCCGCCTTTCCCCTAAAAGAGGCGACTGAAAAAGATGTTTTGGGTCGAAAGGCGCAGGTATCGTACCCTGACTGTAAACCACACCAGAACACACCAACCGCCCTTTTAGGGGTGAAAGTAGTAGTAGTAGTAGTAGTAGTAGTAGTAGTAGTAGTAGTAGTAGTAGTAGTAGTAGTAGTAGTAGTAGTAGTAGTAGTAGTAGTAGTAGTAGAAGTAGAAGAAGAAGAAGAAGAAGAAGAAGAAGAAGAAGAAGAAGAAGAAGAAGAAGAAGAAGAAAAAGAAGAAGAAGAAGCGGGTCATTTCTTCTTCGTCTTCTTAGCTTTTCTCAGGGTGTAAACTCCGGCGGAAAGTTCTGATTGTTAGAACTTGAATTTTGCGTGCACATCCGTTCAACAGATCGGGCTTATTTGTATACCCATTCAAATAAAGCACACTATTTTTTTTTGCAGTCGGCTTTTACGCATACCTGGAGACGTCTAACGGAGCCAGTGGCGATACTGCCGAACTACGGAGCCCCACAATGTCTGTTAATGGTCACCAGTCCTGTCTCCAGTTTTACTACCATATGTTCGGTCCTAACGTGGCTGATCTATATGTTTACCGGTTGGTTTTGTTGTTTCACCTGTTTAATCCTTGCCCCTGAACCTGCACCTTCCCCTTATTTGTCTGACATTATTTTCTCATTTCTTTAAATCCTTAATTCTGACCACAATCAGGACTTTCTGTTATTCATTTACTCCTCCAAAAGGTTAATTTGGAAGCCAGACTTTTCTTCTTCTTCAAAAATGACATTGACTCCCAGGTCAACCCAGCCATAAGTGGGTACCTGGTGCAGTCGTGGGAAGTAAAGGCAGCCAGTGTTATGCTGACCACATCTCCCACCAAGTGCTGATTGGTCTCTAAAACTATAGGTATAGCCCTATATTCCCAGTTTGAATAAAGGCATGGAGAAATGACTATTACTTTTAAAGGTTCATTGCCCCATCCTACAGCTTCCTGTTGGCACCCCATTCCTACTTCACATTCTGTTTCTCCCTACTCACTTGTTTGACTCCCTTCTTCTCATTACTTCTTCTCCTCTTTCCTTCTTTTTCTTCTTCACTCCTCCTCCTAAGTGGGTGAATAAATGAATAAAGAATGTACATCACTGCATTCAGGACACTTCCATTCATGCTCCATCCCCTTCCTCAGCAGCCAAGAGAGAATTTAAATTCTTGTGGTACCAGTTGCAACCTAACTAAAACTTCACCAGTTACTTCCCCACTTGTGGGTAGAACATTTTCTCAACCCTCTGCTTGCTTCTAGCTGAATCATACTCTCCAGATATGAATGCTCTGCCTCTTCTGATGCACTGTTAACTTGATCCCAGAGAGCTTATCATGTCACTTTTATTATTAAGTAGCTCACTGCCCAGAGGATTGGCAGCAGCTAAACTATCAACCTGCTTATTACCTAACATGCACACCTGAATGTCCTGGGCAAGAAATCTATGATACTTCTGTTCTGAGGTTTACCAAGTAATGCAAGCCACTTCTGTGTAAGGCACAGTTTCTATTTTCTGAAGCATGCTCTTCAAGTCAGGTACAACACACATGTTGGACTGTATTATGCTCAGCCATCAGAAACCTACTGTTGCCAGTCCCACCTCCAGTCTCATGCTAAACTGTGACTTTACATGTTTGGCTTTCCTCTTCGACTTAAAAAAAAAAATTGTTTACATTTTCTCCCTAACACTTAAATTCTCTTATGCAATGAAATCCTATCGATTCTTTTTACTTCTTGCTACAAGTTGACCGATCTTAAAAAAGGTATGAGGAAATGTGGGAAGTAAAGGCAACAGAATATTTCATTTATCAGAGTTTCAGTGCTTCAATATTTTAATGACATTTCTGATGTGCATTACATGTACAGCCTGCATTACATTTTCAATACTGCATTACAATTACAATACTGCTTTACATTTACAGTACCGCAATACAATTCCAGTACTGCATTACATTTACAGTAAGGCATTACATTTACAACACTGCATTACATTTACAACACTGCATTATTTTTGCAATACTGCATTGCAAAAACAGTACTGCATTACATATACAGTACAACATTACATTTACAGTACTGCATTACAATTACAGTATGGCTTTACATTTACAACACTGCATTTAATTTACAACACTGCATTACATTTGCAATACTGCATTACAATTACAGTATGGCTTTACGTTTACCTTACCGCATTACAATTACAGTGCCACGTTACATTTACAGTACAACATTACATTTATCACAATTTCAGTGCTTTATTATTTTTATAACTTTTCTAGTGTTGCATTATTTTACAACAGTGCATTACATTTACAGTACTGCATTACATTTACAGTATTGCGTTACAATTCCATTACTGCATTACATTCATCACGTTTTCAGGGTTTCATAATTGTTATCACATTTCTAGTTTTGCATTAAATTTAAAAAACACTAAATTACACTTGCAGTGCCTCTTTACATTTATATTACTGCATTACATTTACATTATTGCATTACATTTTTAATAATGCATTAAATTTACAGTACTGCATCTATCAAATTTTCAGCGTTGCATTACAATTTATTTTTCGATGCCACATTAAAAATATTCTACATTATTAGTCCTGCATTAAATTTATCAGATGCTCACCTGAAGATTTTGGGTTTGAATCTGCTTCAAGTCAGATTTTTTTTTTTAAAGAAATGACCTTGACTCCCCGGTTTACCCAACCTGAATTAAACAGGTACTAAAGTGCCAGATAATAGAGGTGTCCCTTTACACACCAGTGGCACATTGGCATACAAGGCTAGACTCATGTTTTGTATAGACTAGTTGGATCTCAGTGGGTAATTTGGTCAACATAACGCTGACTTCTAACTGAGCAAATGGTTATTGTAGTGAAAACACTTTAACACTGTGAAACATTACTTCCATTATTGGTTGTATCAAAAATATGTACACAGACACATATAGACTTTGATTTCTTGTTTTGTTACAGTGTTAAAAACAATGGGACTGGCTCACGGTCCTCAGTTTGGCATAAGAATGGGGACCAGGGTGATAAATGGAACCTGGCAACTGTGAAGCTCAGTACTGGAAGTAACTTTGTGGTATGTTTTCATTTTAATGCAAAATGTTTAATACCATTTAAAAATTCAGATCCTTTTCCTCCCTGGTGTTACATAGTACCGGCCTCTTTTTAGACATCATTTTTTTATAGACATTTTGTGATGAATACAGTAATTCATCACAGCACCCGGGGCATTCCCATGCGTACTCTGTCCTCATCTTTATCAGCCAGCACAGAGTTCCAAAACTGATGGTAACCAGTCACAATCTGGTTATATGTCGGTCTTGCCTTGACCAGGCCTAGATAGCAGATAAAATCTTGAGATTGCAACAGCATCTGAAATCTTTGAATGAAGAATGTAAAGCAGATAATATGAGAATCAAAACTGAAAAGACACAAGTAACATCAGCTGGAAAAATAAAAAGCACAACCCGAATATAGAAGTAGAGTACAAAGGCATTAAACAGGAATCTGAGTTCAAATATCTAGAAAAAATATTCACTGTAGATGGAGAAATATATGAAGAAATTAACATCCAATGCAGTAAAGCAAACCAAGTACTAAGAAGCCAGATCTCCTTATAACATAAATAAGACTCTATTGGCACAAACCTCTCATACAAAGCATATTCATTCTTACTTCATGCTATACCAGTGCCAGATGTGATAACTCACAACAAACCAAAACAGGAAATTAACAACTGTGGAAAGGTGATGTCTTAGAAGAGCTGCAGGAGTGACCATAAAGGATCAAATCAGCAATGATGTAAGAGAAAAGTCGGCTCAGAACCAGATCTAAATTGCATAGAAAGACGGCAAATCAAATGCTTTGCTTACTTAAAGATAATGCCTTGTGATGCTACAAGGTATACACCAAAAGATTAGAGGGACAACGAGCACAACATAGACCAAGAACAAGATGGAAAGATTACATCTAAGAAACTCTACAACAGTGTGATATGTCTATGGTTGAGGCAGCTAAAGGAGCGAGACATAGAACCTTATATTACCCTCGACACCCGAAGTAGTAAAAGTGAAATTGTCGAAGAAGAGAAAGAATATATAGAAAAAGAAAAAAAAAAAAAAAAAATCCACTGACCTGTGAAAGAGAGATGGTGAGCCAGGGAACTGATCATCCTACCTCATTTTCCAATGGCCTCAGAAATCTAAAGGCCAGCACTTCCTATATACAACAGTCAGATGGGTCCGCCAAAAGGTGCAGCCATGTTGTAAATTGGCACAATGTAACTAAATCCTTGGATGGACATAGAAGAAGATTTTATACAGAAGTTATTAGTGATGATTATCTTCATTTCAAACAGATCCCTAGATGATCTAGTCTCCTCCTCAGCAGCTCTTCAAGAAAAAAATGATCACACTCATTCTGTGTTAACTGAGCAAATTTTTTGTGCTCCTATACAACAACATCTGCATATGATTGCCTATTAATATTAGATGATGCAGATGGGAAAATTATCTGGCGTGTGTATTGTATGTACTTATAGCAGTAGAATGTTAAAGCTTAGCGAGTAAAATACATTGGTGCCCTTTTCTAATAGGAGATTTCCCCATGTGGGTTCCGGGGCCCAATTTTGTGGGAAAATTAGGATAGACCCACTACCTCCCCAACAAGCATGTCATAACAGTTGACTAATTGGGGGCTTCCTTTGAAGTTGGAGTGCATCTGACTGAGAGGCAAGAAACCAACAGTCTGCATACAAATAAGTCAGATCTGTTAAACAGATGTGCAGACAACACAGGTTCTGGAAAAAGAGCAAAGTCCAGAAGTGGAGAAACAACCAGAATTTACTGCCAGAGTCTACAGATAGTGGACATGAAGAAAGAATAAGTATTCAGAGAGAAAAGATTTTAATCTACCTTTAATTACCTCAACAACAGAAGAGTGATGTTACAATGAATTGTTGTCATGGGTTCACATCCTGACTTTTAAAAAAAATGACCTTGACTCCCAGGTGGGTACCAGGTGCAATCCTAGGAACTAAAGGCGGCCAGCATGATGCTGACCACATCCCCCACCAAGTGCTGATTGGTCTATAAAAATATAGGTTGAACCCTAAATTCGCAATAAGCCTAAAGGTGTAGAAAAAGGACCTTTCCTTTTTTTTTTAACTTTACAACAGTGTTCTAGGGGATGAATGAAAGCAGTCTGTCTGGGCATATGGTTATCTCATTTGCTAGAGCTCATTTCTGTTGTGATAAGATGCAAACAAAAGTATTGTTGCATAATTGTCATTCTTCAGAATGATGCATTCCTTTAAAATGTGTCATATTTTTTATTTTTTTTTGTATTTTAGATTATAATCCAGGCTAAGAGGGGAGCTGATTATAAAGGGGATATTGCAATAGATGATATCAAGTATTTCACTTCTGGAACATGTGTAGCAGCATGTAAGTATTTACAGTTCTATAAATGTACATTATGCTTATAAGACAGCTATGTTTCGATCATGTTTCCATTACCCATGTCTTGTACAAAAGATAAGTAATGCATACAACAAGAAGTCACCGTTACCCATGTCTTGTACAAAAGATAAGGAATGCATACAACAAGAAGTCACCATTACCCATGTTTTGTACCGAATATAAATAGCATTATCCAAGTTTTGTTTTAAAAAAACACAAAATAATCAGTAATGCATATAACTAGAAGTCACTATTACCCATTTCTCAAGTTTTGTACAAAATATAACTAATAAACATCAGAAGATGTCACCATCACTCATGTTTTGTATGAAATATAAGTAGTGATCATCACATCAACTAGAATCTTTGTAATTCAAGGCATTATCTCTTTGAGTCCCAGTGGGTTTAGCATCACAGGCCCAAGGGGTAGTCAAGAGATGTTAAATCGGTGCAACATGTGTTCATTGGATAATACTACACAAATACACAACATCACTTATCTTTGTATCTAGAAGCAGCCAGGTCGATGTTCAATAGACTTGAACTACTGCATTGCTGCAACCAGTAATCTTCTTCTTCTTCTTTGCGTTCACCAGCTGTAAACTCTAGTGAAAAGTTTTGGTTGTATGTCCACTTCTGGACTGCAGTCCTGTTCCAAAACCTGGGTTTTGCGTGTGCATCTGTTTGACAGTTCTGAAACATTTGTGTCCAGACTGTTGGTTTCTTGCCTCTAGGGCAGATGCACTTCGACTTCGAAGGAATAACCAGTAATAAAACAAGACGCTTAGACACTATTTATCTGAAGTCCCATAACACTGGGTCACTGAGTTACTGTCGATTGTTTGATCAGGTCTTTCCATTACTGTGATCAGATGTGATAGTTTGTCCATGTGTGTGTTGAAGGCCATCATTTTGGTGGGGAAACAAGAATAGACCTAGTTCTGTTCAGTTTTAAAAAAATAATCCAAGGGAAAGTCACTTTAATATGGCAACTTTTTTTATTTTTTAAAGCGACCCGGTGCAGTTTTGAAGATGGTGCCTTATGCAACTATACAAGCTCAGGAAGTAATGCATTCAAATGGGTGAGCTCACAGGGATCCACATCCACCACCAGGAAGCCAGATCATGACCACACCACCAGCACAATTCAAGGTAAGTCTGCTGATTCTTAACTCTTTGAGCCACAGGAAGCTTGTTTGCAGTACCTTTTCTTCTCCTTGAACCATTGTTTAGCTAAACTTGTTAGATGTGGTCAAAACATACTAAAGAAATCTGGCTGCCGAAGTAGCTACTTGCACTGTGCATTTACCTTCACAGAAAGCCATGGAGTCATGATTTTCAGAGTGGTTATTTCCTCTGTCGGTTATCTACTGTTGAAAAAAAACTTTCCTCTGTCGGTTATCTACTGTGGAAAAAAAACTATGTGGTACTAAAAGAGTTAGTAGATTTGACAAAATCTGTACCAAGCTAAGAAAATAATATTCTCATCTGATGAGGATTGGGAAATACATTGATTAACTCCAAAGCGAAAGAGCCATATAGATGCACACTGAAGCAAATTAAATGTAAGGGCACCATATTGCACAGGTTCAGGTGCATAGTCTCAATTTCCTTAATACCACCTTTCACATATGTTAATGTTCAGCATTCTACTGCATCAGCCACAATGTTATTTACATCATCATGTGTAAAAGATGTGGTATGATTTTGCATTGGTGAAACAGGGCTATGGCCAGCTGAAAGGTTCAGACATCTTTAGGATGTGCAGAACAGTGGCCTCAAACCAGTACCACAGCACTACAGTTCTCAGCTAATCAAAGTGTTCTCGACATAGAGGTTACGACGATCAAATCTAGCATTCCAAAGACAGCTCTAAGTCTCTTGAGAACTGTCTAATCCATCTAATGGGTGCTAATTCACCCATAGTTTCACTCATAGTTTTATCTAATATCTTTGAGTTATGGTCCTTCTTCTCTGGCCAGTATTTATTTTTGCTGGCCACTCATGTGTCATTTCTTCTTCTTCTTTAAGTCCATGATGTGTGGGGTTGGTAGTCATGTCTATCCACAACCTCTATCCACAAACTTATGTCTCGTGTACTTTCAGTCAACTCTGACATAAATGATCCTCAATGCCACAATGTCACACTCTCCAGCATCTGTTCTCTGGATCTGCCTCCCCTCCCCTCCAACGTTCCTACTGTCACAGCGTACTCCAATTTTCTAATTCGCATCACATGACCAAAGAATGTACATTGTCTCTTTCTGATGTGGGCAATCAGTTCTCTTCATGAGTTATTTTCTGTTAAGACATTCTCATTACTCTTTTTATCTGTCCAGGGTATTCTCATTCTACATCTATAAAGCCACATCTCTGCACCTTCCAAATAATTTTTCACCAATCTACCAATTGTCCATGATTCACTTCTGCATGTCAAGATAGGATTTAAATAGCTTTTAAAAATTCTCATTCTCATCCCAATTGACAAAGAAAGATTGTATAAAATATTTTTCATTTTGTAAAATGCTGCATTTGCTTGAGCTATTATACATTTGACTTCTTTAATACATCTTCCCTCTGATGTTATCAGGGTACCCAAGTACTTAAACGTATTAGC